CTTACGCGCGACCTCGAAGTCCATCTCCTCGTCGAACCACTCGTCCTCCTTTGGCACGAAGTGGTGGAAGTGCTTCTCGTCAGGTGCGATCTCGGTCACGGGGATATCACCCAACATCTGCGCCCGAACCGACTGAACCCGTAGTTGTCAATGCCCAACCCAAACCTCGAGAGGCTGCTCGGGCCACAAGTCGTGGTGGATATGCACCACAATACAATGTAAACTTCTCTGCTCCAATCACACCCGACAATATTGTCTATTCGTCTGGAACGCATTATAGAGCTACTGAACCGGGGAATCATCGTGATTATACGCCCTATACCCCGGCTCGTGGCCGTGAATCGGTCTACTAAGCTTTTGCTCAACAACTTTTCTTTTTTACAATTTGTTACATAAATTACTCTTCTTGTACCGACACCCACTTTTTAAACACAATACACCTTTTTATACAGTAACGACAGCGCAGCACATTATGATTCCCCACTTTTCTTATTACGGTATTTGCTGGTTGGGTTTTTTCTTACTTTTTTTTTACGGGGATAACACGAACACGACGAATTATGCAATAAAACAGACAGGCTATAGCAGCTAGCTAATCGTCGAGAAGGCAAGAGATTTTTTTTCTGATACACCCAGCCAAGAAAATTGAGAAAAGAAATCGTTACAAATCTTTCTTCTTTCTTGGTTTTCGCTTTTGGCTCTCTCCTCGTCGATGTTTCGCTGCAAGAGTCTCAAGTTTGCTATTGCATTGAATCGAGTTAGTTATTCATCGTTGTTGTAGTTTTATGATTGGATGGATTGAGTGGATTGGGTTATTGATACGCAAATTATATTGCTACTATGCAATGCTCGCGATAAGTGAGTGGTGAAGAAGGCGGATGGGTGAAATTGATGGATTACACATAGGGGCAGGATGAATTTATTGAGTTTCTTTGTGGCATTTGTTTGCGAGAGTGCATGGACGGGCAGGAGCATGGTATATGGAATGGTTCGCTTGGGAGGAGTTGTACAATGGAAGAGAGCAGGGAGAGAAGAGAAGAGAGATTTGATTAGGGAGGACATAAGGATATGATTGAATATTCATGCAGACCAGTGATCTAAATACCTGGGTGCTGATTGATGAACATGGCCATGGATGATGGCTGGAATGATAGATATGAGATATGATTGAACGAATGAATGGAATTCTACAAGTTCTCAAGTAATGATTGTTTTTGTGCTTCGTGCTCTGAATCTAACCGTGAACTTCAAAGTGAGGCTAGATGCTCGTGGGAGATCTTGAACATTGTATGAGTGGGCAGGACCAGGGTGACGAGGAAGGATGACGAGGATGAGGAGCCATTTCGTGGAAATCGAGGTGGGGGCTTAGATGGGTGTGGAAGGAGTATATAAAAGTTATGTTATGGTGTGTTCTGTAGGAACGATATTTAGAGCTCGTGCTCGAAAGAGGAATTAAGGGACGAGAAGCAAAAGCCGTTGATCAATTGAAAGGGAGAGAGAGATCTGAAGGAACAGCTACTTATTTGGAATGGAATGAATGTCATTTCTAATGCTAATGCTGGGGGATATCTATATATATGGATAGATGGGAGATGGTAGATGAATACTCGAGTAAATGGATAGATATGCGACAAGATTCAAGAGAGATGAGATGAAGAGGAGAAACGTATGAGCTGGATTGTGATGAGATTATGCAATGTGGAAGTGAATAAGATAGGACGGTGTGAAAGGGGATGGTAAAACCTACCTTGATTCGGGGTACCCACCTAGCTAAGGATTTCGATGAAACTCAGGAGGTTTTAGGTAGGTAGATAGGTACTTTTCATTGCACATCCAAGCTACATATGTTAAAATTGATGTTTTGCCCGAGAATCTTCATTGCCTTCGCTAAGAAAGTTGCGAGCGTATAGATTTGGGGGAGGGGGATAATGAAGAGGGAGAGCTGTTCGTACCTAGTGATGCAGATATGAAAGATGAGATGGGGTGAAATGAGATGGATGAATGGGACGAGTGAATTATGTTGATTTTTATATTTTTGTTGCATGTCTTTAGGAAATCTTGGGAGATGAGAGTTGGAGTTATTTTTAACCAATTTCTTCGTACTGGAATCATGATGTGGAGTTTGATGGTTTTGATATATCATTTTAATTATAGAGAGTGGTATGTATAAAGTTTAAGAACATTTCGGAAACGGTATGAATCCATATCCAAACTATTGTGATGAGATCTATGTAATCGCGCGTGATAAGAAATGTAACAAAGGAAACAAAAAGCAAAAGAAACGATGATTGAAAATTGTGGTATCTAACTTGTGATGAGTCAAGGAAAATTATAAGAATAAGCAGTGCACGCTCTGGTATCCATCTATGCAGTTTATAGAGGCTCAACACACCAGCCAGCCACCAACGACGCCTCCCATATAATACACCTTCCCCTTTAATGGTAAATGAAATGGCCACTCTTGGGCCAAACTCTACTTCCCACCCCCATCCCCTTTGCCTCACAATAAAACATACAAACTACACATACCACTCAACCCCAAAATCATACTACACCAAAAACACACATTATTCAACACTTTCTTCCCTCTAGCCCATGGTCTACTCTGTAACCAAATGATAGGAAGTTGACTCATCTGTAGTACCATTCCATAGCCTCGAAGTTTCTTAGTGATACAAGCCATGATTATTTCATGGCCAATTGCGCTAATGAAAAAAGTTATAAAAGTGGCTCCGCCTTTTCCAATATACGAGCGAGAGCCGAGATATACGTGACGATGAAAGAAGTGATGGACCGGAATGTTCCATTCGCGGGAGAATTGCATCCAGTCTGTACTATTCCACCAGTCAGAGTAGAAGTGGCGATCTGCAAAGCCTATGGGTTTAGAATTACTTGTCAGTACAGTGCGCAAGGAAAGGAAAAGCACCGTGGTGCAAAAAGATTTGGGGTAAGCCAAGAGGGTCGTTGAAAATTTTGTACTTACAGGTTATCTCAGCAAATGCGCCGAGGACGAATTCAAAAATTACAAGGAATACGAGAAGGAAAGTAATCATGAAAGGAAAGAGGAGTAAGCTGATAGATTCCGCAATGACAAGGGCATTTTCGGTAAACGAGGTTGCAGTTTGAAGTCTCGTTGCCGATGCGGTCATAACGGGATGGATGAATTCTTCGGAAGTGATAGTGAGCAAGAAAATGACACCAAACGTAGCAAGAGTTTTGTATCCCAATTCTGACCAGACTATACCTGCTGTGCGTGGATATTCGAGCTCATAGCAGAGTGTCGGGCAGAATATATAATCGACATAATTGTACCACGTGAGATTCCGAGGGTATGTGACAGAGCCCATGGTAGACGTCAATTCGAGAGCTAAATCCTCCCTAAGACTCGCAACCTCGTCAGCTTTGGTCTGAGTAAGAGCTTTAATCTCTGACGCTGTTCTCTTGTGACCTGGACTTGGATATTGATATGCTGGTGCTTTTGAAGCAGTTGCTGGAGAGTCAAGCTCTTGTAGTCGTCGTTCGGTTTCGCTCAGGTGACCATTATAAAATGCATATGAATGCATTTTCATAAGTAGGACCATAGTATGAAGTAAAAGAAAAACCTGAGCTGTCCATGTCCAATCTCGAAGGAATGGTATGCTACAATACATATCAGCATTGCGCTTCACTATTGTCTGCAGTAAGGACACTTACGAAACCCAGAATGCCATCCAAATAATTTGGTATAAACTCTGGGTGGCCATCCCTCCTCTGGTCCATTGAAATCCTAAAGATTTACCTGGCTTGCTTCTGAAGAACTTATGAAGGGGAAGACTGATGGATGTAGATGCGACCATCAATGCATCTGCGACCCCAAGTTCCCAAACCTTTACTGTGAATAATTGCCAAATCTCCACTCTCATGGGATAACCGGTATCCTTGATATTTCGTAACATCGTTGTGATTGCCATGATAGCAAGACCAATCCAAAACAAGATGTAAAACCCAGTGAAATCATGGTGATCACTATGTGGATCTAAGTGCGAGACTCTTGAGGTGTATTCGATTATAGGGAAAATACGACGTTTTTGCTCTGCTTTGATTTGCCTCTTCGCAGAGAACATCGATTGAACGGAGGGAGGTGCATCTTCGGGAACAGGTGTTGTACGCCCACTATTTCATGTTAGATACAGCATTTGACTTGATTTGAGAGATTCACCTAGTTGGACCTGTAGAAATACCATCTTCAGAGAAGTCTTTGATATTGTTGACTGGTAATAACCCCTCCTCACTTATTGTTCGAACAATTGTTGGGTTAGAGCTATTTTGGGGTCTGGGACGCAAGATATGATCATGACCATTCCCATTGGTGTGTACATCCGCAGAAGTAGACATCTCGTGTGTACTGAAATGGATTTAGAAATTAAGTGAAGCTGGCCGCAGAGATTGGGGGAATGAAGCTCCTTATGAATGCCCCTTTTGAAACAAATCAAAGTTTGGGAAGGGTCTGGCAACTTTTATGGACTCAGTTGAATATGTCATTTCATAAGGGAAACTCAAATTAGATACGTTTCCATTTTTCTTCATATACAATCAACAGAATAAGAAATTTTTGACCAGATTGACTGGTTCATTGCTTATCCATTATCCATGGATGATGATATTCGAGGCTGTGGGTTATATTCCCACTCACTCAACCAGCGGCCTTACCCGCGAGCCCGCGTATTAAATACGCACCGGGGCCATACCGAGCCACAGTAGGCTTAATCGTAGCCTCGGGCGCCACTCGGTACTAGCACATATGCGGACTAGTCTAAGCTTAGGGGATGCATCCTGAAAGTCATCAAGACATCAAGCGAAGTATGGTGGCCTTTGCATCACCAATTAGGCACCTCAGAATCAAAACGACCACTATTCAATCACTTTATTATTCCTGCTCCTTTTTTGAAGCAAAACTTGTGGTCTCTTGAGCTGGGAAGTTTTAGAAGTTTGGCCCATTTTGGGCCTTGAACAGTATCAGAATGAGTTCATGTAAGTAACAAACAATGATGCCCCATACCCCTCGATTTCCAAGCTCATCATACACAGTGAAGCAATTCATTCGCAATGTGCGAGCTTCGAAAACAATCGCAGATGAGCGCGCAGTCGTACAAAAGGAGAGTGCTGCTATAAGAGCAAGCTTTCGTGAAGAGAGTGGTGATCATAATGTCAGGTAGGAAGGTCACCGCTTGTTGATTTGAACATATCTGACATATCGGACTGGCAGGCGAAACAATGTAGCGAAGCTATTATACCTATTCACGTTGGGTGAGAGAACGCATTTTGGCCAAATAGAATGTCTCAAACTTCTTGCATCACCAAGATTTGCGGATAAGAGATTGGGTTATTTAGGAACAATGCTTCTACTGGACGAAAATCAGGAGGTACTGACATTGGTTACAAACTCTTTGAAAAAGTATGCGCAACTGTTAGTCTCATGGGGCCATGAAGCTGACTCGAACACAGTGACCTCAATCACTCTAATCAATATATCGTTGGATTGGCTCTATGTACCCTGGGAAATATTGCATCGGTCGAAATGTCTCGAGACTTGTTTCCTGAAATCGAAACCCTTCTTTCTACCGCCAACCCCTATATCCGTCGCAAGGCTGCATTATGTGCCATGAGAATATGCAAAAAAGTACCAGATTTACAAGAGCATTTCCTCGAAAAGGCCGCAAACCTCCTGTCGGATCGAAATCATGGTGTTTTGTTGTGCGGTCTTACATTAGTAACAAATCTCTGCGAAATGGACGAGGCGGAAGGAGGAGAGGAGGGAATCGTGGAGAAATTCAGACCATTTAGCGGCGGCTTAGTTCGAACGCTGAAGGGACTGGCTAGTTCCGGTTATGCCCCTGAGCATGATGTCACTGGAGTTACGGATCCATTCTTACAAGTTAAGATATTACAATTGTTGAGAGTTCTTGGCCGTGGAGATTCAGAAACAAGTGAACAAATCAACGACATTTTGGCTCAAGTTGCCACAAATACAGATTCTTCAAAGAACGTTGGAAATTCTATTTTATACGAGGCCGTCCTTACTATTCTCGATATCGAAGCTGATTCTGGTTTGAGAGTACTTGGTGTCAATATCCTTGGAAAGTTCCTCTCAAATCGAGACAACAATATTCGATATGTGGCATTGAATACACTCATTAAAGTGGTCGCAATTGAGCCAAACGCAGTTCAACGACATAGAAATACTATACTTGAATGTCTTCGAGATCCTGATATCAGTATTAGGCGGCGTGCATTAGATTTAAGTTTCACTCTCATCAATGAAAGCAATGTCAGGGTACTTATTAGGGAACTTCTTGCTTTCCTGGAAGTTGCCGATAATGAGTTCAAGCCAATTATGACCAGTCAAATTGGTATCGCAGCAGACAGATTCTCGCCGAACAAAAGATGGCATGTAGATACCATGCTAAGAGTCTTGACTTTAGCAGGAAACTACGTCAAGGAGCAAATTCTATCTTCATTCATTCGGCTTATTGCCACCACTCCTGAATTGCAAACTTATGCGGTTCAGAAGCTCTATACTAGCTTGAAGAAGGACATTACTCAAGAAGGTCTTACTTTGGCCGGTGCCTGGTGTATTGGAGAGTACGGAGAAACTTTACTTCGTGGTGGCCAGTACGAGGAAGAGGAACTTGTCCAAGAAGTTAAGGAGAATGAAGTTGTTGATTTGTTTTCAACTATTCTTAACAGCAGTTACGCCACTCAAATTGCAACAGAATATATTGTCACATCCTTGATGAAGCTCAGTACACGTCTATCAGACCCTGCACAAATTGATCGGATTCGACGAATCTTGTCCAACAATTCCACGAACCTTGACATCGAGGTTCAACAGCGAGCGGTAGAGTATGGCAACTTGTTCAGCTATGATTCCATTAGAAAAGGTGTATTGGAAAAAATGCCACCACCACAAATTAAGGAAGAATCCCGAGTTCTGGGAGAGGCAAGCAAGAAACCAAGTAAAGCATCTAACAGGAAGTCAAAGATCGTCAAACCAGCGGAACAGGATCTGTTGTTTGACCTAATGGGAGACGGAGGAATGCCTGATGCAAGTGTTGGAGGTGCTAATAGCGGATCCCAAAATAATGCAGACCTTCTAGCAGACATACTTGGAGGCACCGATTCATCTCAACCTACATCACCTCCAGCTCAACAGTCAAATATGAGTTCAATTATGGAGCTATTTGGTAGCACTCCATCTCAACAACCCCCATCTGCTACGGCAACTCCTTCAAACGATGTTTTCTCTAGTGTATCTTCGCCTCCACCTCAGGCTCCTTCTTTCCCAACCCATCCATGTTACGACAAAAATGATCTTAACATTACTTTGCAACTTCAACGAAATGCAGAAGGTTTAGTGCAAGTCTTGGCTCGTTTTAAGAACTCCTCCATGCATCAATCTTTCTCTGCAGTGGCATTACAAGCTGCAGTACCTAAAACGCAAAAACTCCAATTACAAGCTATGTCAAGCTCGGATCTGGGACCCGGGGCAGAAGCAACACAATCAATGAGGATTACAGGAAGCAAAGGGGTAAGTTTTCTTGACAAAATGCCACAGATCATTTACTGATTGTTTTAGCCACCATTACGACTGAGGTTAAAGATTTCTTATGCGCACCCAACTGCGGGACAAGTTACGGATCAGGTAGATTGGTCGGAGCCAAGGTAGTGAGGTTATAAGTAACCGAACTGCATTTAGAAAATCTATGAAAAGTTATTATTACTCGGCGTACTGCATGAAGTAATTGGTTGGTGGCGCTACTCATGTTCGCCCAGGTATCAGCCCTGGAAGTTCATAACGTGAGCGACAAAGAATACAATGGAGACTATCTATTAAAACCAATGAACTTTGAACCAACTTGTTTCGATGTACGTTTTCTGATTTAGGGCCCGGTTGATGGAGTATTCTCGCTTTAACAGCCTGGAAAGCTCAATAGACATTCACACCAACATTTTACCTTTTCGAATTGTGAAACAGACACTTTTGTCGTAAAATCCTACCTAACGTTGACATGCTGAAAAACAGCGAATCGAATATGAGTATACATTTTTCAATATCGAGCCTCCCAGGTGACTACCTAGTATATCTCGATGGAATTCACCCCTTAGTGATAATAGTCGGCTCTCTTTAGTGGCCGATTAGTTCTTAGTTTGAGAAAAGCACTTATTCTGGGGAAGCGATGATCCTTTTGACACTACAATTTGAATAAGTCACTCGCTCTTTAAACATAAACAACAATGTGGGGATCGATAAACTCATAACTGAATTTTATCTGATGATATAAAGACATTTATTACATTAACTTGAATTTAGGTGGTGTGTAGTAAGAATTAGATAGAGATTTCTTGTGGCAATTTGCTATCAAGAATCAAGATCGAAAATGCACCAAGAAAGCTGAAGGAACAAGTGTTTCTCTAAGACAAACACTTTCCCCAACCAGGAAACAATCGACCATTGTTGAGAGTCAATTATCATATAAAAGTATCGATTGATTCCTTTGGGTTATGATGGCTAATCGAGTTAATCTCATTTTTAAGAATTTCCCTTGAGCTGTCCAAGCATACCAGTGTGGGTTCAATTCTTATTGTCGAGAATCGAAATTGATTGAAAGTGTACTCTTCGTGGTCTGTCGGTGACTACCTAGTAAGTAGCATCGATTGAAACGAATTGTAATTCTCTTAAACATGAATTGTTAGATTATGCCTTTCTATGGTCCACCAGTGGGTGCACAGACTCACGGGACACTTAAGAGGAAAAGCACAATTTCACACTAAAAAGAGCTGTTTTGATAATTCAATTAAAATTCAAAAAATTGATATTTGACTTTGAAATTAAGAATTATTATTCTCAAACATAAGAATTTTATATAATAAAAGTTTTATTTCAAAAAAAAACAAAATTCAAGTTTATACAATCGATTATATAATATCTTATTAAAAAATTTAATAGGAAAATATACTATTTGATTTTTAAATTCAATATTCATTTTTAAAATTCAATCTTTATATATTATATAAATTTTATATTTATAAATTATATATTTTGATTTAAATAATATTAAATGGAATTTGGAATTTTGATTAAGTTTTGAAATTGATAAATTTGAGTGTGAAATTGTGCTTTCCTGTTATGTTGTCCCGTGAGTCTGTGCACCCCCTGGTGGTCTGAATTATAAGTGATAAGAGCGGGTCGTTGGCTCATTCTCGTTACCACAACTAGAGGATACTAGTCGCGGTGATTTCAATATCCTTATTTACAATACACTTCTGATCATTTGAGTTTTGGCAAAACATTGAATTTAAAGCTCTTACACTTGTCTCAGATCAATTCTGTCTTCCCAGGAATCTTATAAATTGAACCAGTCTTGTTCTTAACTACGCAGTGCTGCATCAAATGCAAAGATAAGCAAAGAATCAGTGGCGACAGGTACAATGACATCTATCACATTATCCGAAGTGGAGCGGGCGGAGATCTTGAGACAAGGAAACGATTTGTAAAAATCGGGCAAACTCCTTCGACGTATGGTATCACGATTTGATTGGCTTACTGGTCATGGTGTCTGACTTCAAAAAAGCTATTACCAAATATCAAGACCCCGCCAATCTTGTACCGAACAATTGCACACGCCTTGGTAATTTATCGGCGGCGTATTTCGAAGTTGGGGATTATACCCAATGTATCGTCTAGGCGAGAAGAGCTCTTCAAATCTTGGGGGAAAGCAACGACAATAAGAATACGGATTCGGTAGAAAAATTCCAACAACGGATAAAGAGAGCAGAAATACATTCGTTCGAATCTTCTGAACTGAAGCAGCTGCAAGCTCGACTACGAATTCTTGAAACACTTCCTCGTTATCGGTCGACATTGTAAGGGCCTTCTTGAATTCTTGGAATATCTGACCAATTTCTTCTACAGTGCTATTGCCAAGGAATGCTGCTCTGTCGACAATGATAAGCCTGCTTCATTATGTGATCATATTATTGACAAGAATGAGTCTGTGTCTAGTGATGTCTCCTTTCTATTTGGTGGTCTAGGCGATGATTTACTCCAACTAATCATTGGCATTTCTGAGCTTGAAAAGAAGCACCACTTGAAGCAAAAACAACTTTCATTTCAAAAGAGAATGCCATCTTCAAGTAAAAATACCGCCCAACTCACGCTCGTCTGAAGCAAACGCACCCCATGCGTACATTTAATGTTGCACTTTTCTTTTACGATTACGATGTTCTGGAAAAATGTGGAAAGATCTTGGAAGTTGCATTTTTGAAGGATTTGAGAAAACTACGTGATCCTAGCGGGGGATATATGAGAAAAATTCAAGATACAAGGGTGCTACGAACGAGGATTTGAGGAAAAGGAGAGTAAAAGTTTAGACTTCCGTCGAATATGATGTAGTGAATAGCATTGCAAGCGCATGGATGCCAGAGGATTGAGCTGAGAAGGTGGAAAGAGATTGGTGCAGATATGGCCTATGGAGAGTTGATACTTGGGAGACTATTAATTATGGTCCTTTTGCAGTAAGAGGTACAGTGTTTAAAGAGGAAAATTTGGTAAATACTGCTTTCTATTAATTTCAAGTGACAAAAGTGGCTTCACGATCTGATGGACCACTCCTCAGCTTAAAAAATTCTTAATTCGTTCTAGGAATCGATTATTTGACTTCAAAGCTGTTGATCTAATTGCTTGACCTGTAAAAAATCGATCTCTGAAATCGAAAAGCATATGTATGAAGATTTAAAGAATGTTGTATTCATATAAGATATCTGTATGGTCCATTGTCATAGCTAGGGTTGGAGCCAGCAAGACCATAATGAATGTTTGCTGCTTTGATGATACCTATTCAACGAAGATTGAAAGAGTATCATTGGACCAACCTGCATATAAACAAACATTTATCAAGCTGCAAATTTCTGCTTCGTTTTTGCTGTTTTTCATTCAATTGCTTCTTCCCTTGACATTTACAGTGAATGACCAACGTGGTTATTCACTAAGTGGCCTACCAGTGCAAGATAAAAATTACTGCACTCTTCACATTCTTTCATTTCTGGCTTAAATACTCTCATCAGCTTCCTCATTTTGCAAACCTGCAATTTTCACAATCATCAAAATGTCTTCTCCGGAAGATCTCTCAAAAAGGTTGCGAGAGGAAGGGAATGTATTGTATAAGTCTCGAGACTTCATCAAAGGTAATTTATTCCTCATTCTGGCTCTATATTGAGAAGCGTGAATCTAAATACTCAAACAGCGATCCATAAATACATGCAAGCAGCTCGAACATCCCGAGATGATCCAGCACCAATTCGAAATCTCTCTTCCGCTTATTACGAGAGTGGTCAGTATGAAATGTGCCTGTTGTTTGCCAAGAAAGCTATTCATTTGATGAACAAAGCAGTCCCTGGCGATAAAGATAGTGCCTTCACAACACGCATTCAAGAATTGGAGAAAAGAATCAGAAAAGCCGAGGACTGCTTACCAAGATATCTTATTCAAAAACAGAAAGAACGCAGAGTGGAGATCTTGGATCGCCTTGCACGGTATCATGGATCAATGTAAGTGGATTGAAATTTCATCTCCATCTCCATTATCTACAGATTGGTTGAATGGATGGATTTAATGCGTCACAGGAGATCCGCTGGAGACTACGTGCCTATCGGTCATGACAATGCCAAATCCCTCTTTGGCGAATCCCTTGCGCTACAAATCCCTGCCGGCGAGACCATCTCATTCTTCAACAGCGGACTAGGCGATGCTAGACACTTCCTAGCATCTCTCATTAGTATCGCGCACAAAGAAGGCAAGGGAAAGATACCGAAACGTCGATATCACTTCACATTGAATGACATCAATAGACATGTGCTTACTAGAGCTCTTATCATATTCTCTCTTCTGGACAAGCTCTCTCGAGTCAAAAAAGACCAAATGTTTGAGTTGGTGAGCGTCTTAAACACAGTCTACTTCATCTTTGCATCATGTTTAATGCCCAAATGGGTCAGCGAACAGCTGCAAGAAGTTATTGCAGAGCTTTTAAGACGTTTGAGAAATGGCCAACAGCCATTAGAGTGGATTTATCTGTCTGAAGCAGATGTTGCATCCTGCATCCAAGCGCTCGAAAATTGGTTATCTGGAGGCAGAGTAGCGACCTTGTTTACCGCCAAAGAAGTAATGAAATCTACAATCAGCACCATGGACGACTCTATATACAGTAATAAGAGTGATGAATATTGGGAACATATTGGGTTTCACAGCAACAAGGAGAGAGAGCTCTATTGCGCGACTGGAGTCCTTCTGCCATGCCTGCAGGCAATGCAGCGACATGATCCAAAATTGGTGGATTTGAGCCTCAAGGCACTGCTCAACCCCAGAGGAAGAGAAGCGCGGCTTTTCATGGCCCATGTTATGACGAATAACTGGGTATTCAACCCGACACAGCTGGATTGGGATTCGCATACAGATATTGGAAACGGGGAGCCGAGAGTCTTTTTGCGATTTGATCCATTTAATTTGGTCTCGAGACTGTGGGTGGAGCTGAAGGAGGAATTGCCACCCACGGAACAGCATCTACAATTATTTGAACATATTGGGCCGTTTTTTGCGGAAGCAGCAAAAGCAATTAAGTCTTTGGGTAACAGATTGAAGGTAGAGATGGTAAAGGGTGATTATATTGATGTCGCCGAACGAATCCATTTTGGTCTCCATTATGATCCCACTCAGAGCCAGGCACTGGGCAATGGGGATATTGGGTATCCACGCCCAAAAGACTTCCCATCAATTTATCACCGAATAACCTTGAGCAATGTACCGTGAGTACACACCTTTTAACATGATAGATAAATGCAAAGAGTCTAATGTTCCAATCTAGGGATTATGTCGGTGGCCATTTAACAACCTTCCTTCATGCAATGCCGCTCCTCGCCCGCCACCCTACTAGTCTCGCGGGTAGTGTGTGTCTACGAAATCCTCCTTTTTTCCGCGACATGGGTGACTTTCTTGCTGAGTATCAACTTATAAGCAGCGAGAAGATGCTCGAACAATTGACCGGTGTACGTATTGTTTTTAGAGGGCATGGGCCTGTGCCACTCGCCAGCTACACATACTACTGTTGGAACCAGCTAAATGAATCTGTCCCACTTTCAAAACAGGTGAAAGCTCGTCTCTCTCGTGAGGATCTGATGAGGTGGTTTCATGGACTTTTCCTTAGAATGGCAATTCCTATGACGTCCGATCATCGTCTCATTTCAGACAATAATCATATGATCTATTCGCCGCTCAATCTTACGATTCTTTTTCGTCAACTGGGTCACCTTCATTGTCTAGGATATCCTGCTCATTGGCTTTCAGGAGTCCTAGTCCCACTGCTCGAAGACGCCGGAATGCTCGAGACTGATGTTCGACCACCAAGCAACGTCCCACTTCGACCCGATCAGGTTGATTTAAAGTATCCGGTCAAGGAGCTTTGTATCATGCCTTTTTTGCCAGAATTGAAAACACTTGCGACTCTCTTTGCTCCTCTTCTCCCATTCCGCATCGATTCAGATCTCCTCTATCCCATCGACAAGATCCACGAATACACAATTGATCTCTCGCCATTACCAGGGGGCTATTTCCAGCCAACATGCCTCGTTCTCCTTTTCTGGTCACCAAATGGCAGTCCCAGCGGCCACTTACCTCCTGAACTGTATCCCAGTCTGCGTCCGTTTCTTGACCCAAGCCGGCGCAATGGCCCCGCTGATCACGGATTTGAAGACGCAGCGCAGAAAATTGAAGATTGGAGAGCCAAGGAAGTTATTGTGTGGTCGACTTTGAAGTTCGATTTTGAGAAGCAGGAAGCAAAGACATGGATGCCGAAACAGATCATTGAGCAGATGGTGAATAGAAAATGGAAGTGTGGGCTTATGAGAAGAGACCTGTGGATGGTTGTCGGGGCTACGCTTTATTCGACCTCGGGACGCGTCAGAGACATGGTGAAGATGGGAAGAAGATGGGACGAGGTCTTCAGAGAGGACGATGACACTGAGAAGGGTGATGATGGTAGCAATGATGAGGATGCTTTGCAAGGAAGTGATCCCAATCCTATGGATCACCGGATGTTCCAAGTAGTAGTTGAGGAGATTTTCAACGACAGTAAGAAGCTGGGAGCCGCAAACGAGAACATGATTGATGGTGGCGGGGCGATGGACAAAAAGAATAAGAGTTAAGACGATGATGGTGGCAAAAACGATGAAGATGATGTAGACGATGAGGATGATGAGTATGATGAAGAGCCCTCGTTGGATTAGAGTTTCAATATGCAGAGTTGAAAATAAAATACGCAAGGTGGTATGAAAGCAATGAGTATCCGTCACAAGTAAACAGAAAAGCAGAAATGCATCTACAAAATGACCACACACACACCCTAATATGCAGACGAATTCCACTCCATTTCGAAATCCTCGTTGAATGTTCCTTAAATCCAGCTTACTTATTTAGAAGATTTCACTGACAACTCGCGCCTGCCACAATTGCCAGACGTTGGTGAAATCACGATTTCCGAACCTCGTCGTCGCATCTTGATACTCAGCTTCGAGTCTATCAAATACGTGCACCTTTGCTTTCGTACTAGCCGAACTCAGCAGCACTCGCTTCAAAGTCTGCTTAAAACCTGAATATGATACTAAAAGTCTTGTCCGAAGTCGCCGCATGTTACGTTGCACCTGCAAAGTTGCAGCCTCTTTCACTCTATCGTTTACAGCTGAGAAGATTACATCTCACTACCTCTTCAAAGTCCTTGCTTGGTAGAGAAATTTTGCTCTAGTAAACGGAGCATAGTATCTACTCGTGCGGCCAGAAAGTATGCCACACTCCACTCACAGGCAGGTCCCATAAGGTGGTAAAATACAAGATGACTGGTGGCCCATATTTAGGTGGAGTGTTGCAAACTTTCTGGCAGCACGAGTACAGGAATCTCCTACACGTGGGCGGCAGTCCATCGGCATTGGTATGCCGAGGATATATAACCACCAGAATCCCAACAGGAGACAGACAATCTAACGAAATTTTCGGAGATGGGGTTGTTTTTAGTGCTGCGTATATATCCACTTACAAGCTTCAGTGGCAGTCACTCAACTTACCATCCAAGAACCCAGTGTTATTTGCTTCACCATGGCATCCACACTCTGTTGAAAACCGCACTCGTAGGTCCAGAAAGCATACAGCTCCGAAGCTAGATACACATACCACAAAATGGTGAACTGGAAGAGGACTAATCTGCTTTTATAGCGGCGGACTCGCATACTGTCTGGCAGCACGAGTACTGTATCGAGCTCGCCAACTCAATCCATTCCTTTTTGACTGCCGCAAAACACTCCACATCTCGATGAAGAGAAATCCACCATACCTACCTTAGCTCACCAAGCTTATTTCTTCTTTGAGAGGTCCTGTTTTGACCAATTGAGAAGCTCCACGACTTGTGGTATCCACTCCCTCACCCCGGTATCTGGTATCTACTCTCCATTTTGTTCATCTCTTCCCCTCCTTGAGTTGAATTATTCATCTCATTACCAGCCGCGGCATCAATGCATTAACAGAACCCCGCAGTTCCATAAAAGTTGACATTAAATCCGACGCATAAAATATCTTACACCAGTGTGGTGGAAAGAGATTTTCCTCCGAAGACTACACTTGCATCTCATACCAATATCGCGATCGCAGATTGATTTCTCAGCGACATCGCCCACACGCATCATTGCGTGTGACAGCAAACACTTGTTGCCGATCTGAAAGCCCAAAATATGTCGAAACTGTTACACGCACTGAGGCACTCTCTGGAAACTCCGGCGCTTCTCAGACACTTCTTATCAGAACCCGCAATTTGTGCACCCTCTGCCTATTCCCATCCCATCGGTTGTGCAACTCGCACAGCCTCACAGACCATTTTCCTCCCTACCTACCCACTCCAGCCCAACTCAAACTCAATTCCAAAACCATCTCCGTATGCATAAATGCCATACAAACCTCCAAGAAACAAATGGTCGGGCCTTCCCCGCTCCCCATCACTCTCAAGCTCCACCTGACAGCTCACCGGTCTGCATATCACGTGAAATGAAGCCAATTAAATCACATTCTCATCATTCCCTCGACCCTTGTATCCAATCGTTCTTGTCTGCTCTTATCTTTAAAGGGGTGAGAAGCATTGAGTGAGCAAATTGATATGTGGAGATATCGAAGAAATGTTCTCGTGAGTCCGTGCAGGAAAACATATCATTTGTCCATCACGTGCTTTGACCATTCCAAGGATCGCTAATATCGCTACTGTACGAAGGGTACAAAGAAAGGGAGAAAGGGTACCCTACCCTACGCACTACTGAGACAATTTGAAGATCAGGGTAAGATCAGGGTATTTGGTAAATTGCAAATTTGGAGCCCTGGATAACGTATCCAAGTAATAGTCCAACTTCCAAGGGTTCACTCTAATAATGCATAATGATAAGGTAGCAATGTTAATGTATGATGTTTGTTTTATTTATATTTCCTTGATCTTGTTACATCCAGTTCAGCCCAGCTGAATATTTACACAGTAAATAAAACAAGTGAGGCGTTTCCGAAGAAACCGCTCGAAAATACCAAAATGACATATCTACATGAAGTACACGACCATCCATCATTGCTTGTTTCCTCTCGTGCACATGTACGATTTACGATATATGCATTGTAACCCCCATACAACCCAAGCATCAAAATATCTCCACGGCCCTCCCTTGCCATAGGATCTAAAAATATGCAAACACCCTTGGAACTATGAATGTTCACCTCCACTCGACAGTCTAAAGACCATTTAAAACGATAAATAAATATCTCACGATATGCATCAGTGACATCACTCCACATTCTTCCCAAAAAAAATCACTCAAGCCACGCAACCGCGTTTCTTGCTGGAGATTGAACTCGATTCCTCTCCGAGCCTCCGAGGCCGAACCCAATCATAACGCTCCACGCTCTGTGGGGTATTGGAAACCGGGATAAGATGCAAGGATATTAAGGGTGCAATATGACCGGGTTTTTTTTTGCCTTTCTCTTGGCATGAACGATAGTAGGGACAGGAGGCTGTGTGCATGCGTTTTTGAGGATATATTGTTTTTGAGACTTTTTGAGTGGAGGGTTTTTCTGTATGTTTCGACTGTGGGGGCGGGAGTCGAGAGTAAGAGCGATAACGATACCAAGATGAAGTCGTAAAATGAGGTCGTATTGAATTTGGCTATGCTCGTCGTTGATACAGTCTTTGGCGGGGTAGATGTAATGGTGGTACGATGCGACGCGATTCAACCACACATCTAAAACGCTTCCGCGTTGTACAGTGTATACTTGCAATCATACAACACATGTGTACAGTGATTCTTCACCCAAAGGTACTGGTAACGCATGGTATGGTATCGTAAATAGTAGTACTGTATTGTAACAAATCGGTATCGAAAATAGGTATCAATCGTGCCCTCACATCGTAACTCCATACTCCAGATTCCCAAATCCCTTCCCATGGACTTCTTTCCAAGAAGTGTTCCCTAAACTCCAGACCATCCAGAGGCGTCTATCTTTACGTCCATCCAAGTCCCAGTCCCGTACCTTCGTTGATGATGATGTTGTTGTTGTTAAGTTGTGATTGTCGCACTGTACACGCTCTTTGAAGCCCCTTCATCAATTCTCGCTTCACTTGTAACCAACCATCTTGGCACAACGATCACAATAGTACAGGTTGTGACCGAATCGTACCATCCCGTTGGCGCTCGCATCATCTGTGCTGACTCTTCGTAGCTCGTTGCCTTGGTATTGCATTGTACTGATGGTTTCGACAGTTTTGGCGCATCTCGAGCAGCGCATCACTTCTACTCTTGGCTCCATTGAATATGATGATTGAAAGGATGAAGACGATGATGAGGATGAGGACGAGGAGTCTGATGATGCTCTGGAGAATGTGTAGGATGACATTTTGTATATGTGTGTCGGATGGAGGGAAGTTATTGATGATGCGGATAAATCCTCGCAGCGATGAGATGTTGTATCTGTTGTATCTGGTTGATAGTTCGAGAGTGATGGAGTTATCGAGTATATGATAAATCTCAATAGATCTCAACACAAGATATAATGTGTTCTTGAAGAGTAATACTTGGTATGTACCCTCGTTCACTAAAATAGAAAAGGCGGCAGATCCTTGGCTTGGAATGCGGGCAGATGCAATGGTGGTAATATGTATAAGAGATGTGAGTGCTGCGCAATGTTGTACGTGCCGGGGAATAGTAGGTAGTAGTAGTAGTAGTAGTAGTAGATATGGATCGTTGGGTAGGAATATGGAAAAAGAAAAGGTTTCGTTAAACTTTCGAAAGAGGCTTCTCGGACTTTTACATTAATTCTTCAGATTGATAATAGTAACGAGATGATTCTGTTAAATGAAAATGCCAATGCCAATGCCAACACCAATGAGGAGCCCTCGTCAAGTAGTCGAAATCAAGGCGGGGGGAAGTCGTCTCAAGTTTTTCTTAATTTTTCCAACCGGGATTGAAGGTCTTTCAAGAAAAAGACCGATCGGAATATCAGTTTCCGATCTCGAGTCAACAGGTACTGTCCAGGGTGTGGAACCAGCTACCCTAAAAATGGGATTGTGTGATGTAGATCAAGGAGCCGGGATATAGACAATTAATGTTGAAGGGTACGCTTCTTTAGTTTGACATGAAGATTCTTTCTAGTTTGACATGAAGAGAGAAAGAAAAAATGATCCTGCGCTGGTGGGAAAAGAAAGGAAAAGGAAAGCAAAAGATTTGAGTATGTGAGTATGTGAGTATGTGAGTACGTGAGTCTAACTTTTTCAATGTGAGATAGATGTGGTATAGCGGGGACAGTCCAGCGACAATACTACGTACAGTACACCAGTAGTACTACGTAGAAACAAAAATTCAAAATTCAAAATAATGGTTCTAACCTCTAATAACTTCCAAGTCTTGTGGTGGGTGGATTAGCTGATAGGTGGAGCACACGTAAACTTTGCGAATCTGCGATGTCTTGAAACCAACGATACCCAATAATCATACGAAGATTGTCCTTGGGTTCTGATAAGGGTAAACAGCTGACATGATATGTGCTGCGTAAATTGTTATGGTCTGATACACTCTGGAGAGAAATGGTCCATCATCTTATGGTCATGCAGGCTGCAGCTCTCACGCGGGAATGA